ATACTTTTCCAAATCAATCATAAAACTACGTTTAGGAAACTGTAAAATATTATTTTGAAGACGATTGAGATTTGTGAGAAAAATTATAACCCATTACTCTTACGTACAGTTGTATTATATATATATATATTATTACATATGAAACTGCAATTCGCATGATATCAATCAATCTCGAAATAACAAAGTCATCACTGCTCTAATTGGATTCATTTTACACTGTGAGGGATAAAAGATGGAAGAAACATAAATCTAACATGGTAATAAACATTTAACGTTTCCTGCCGATGGCGTTTTTCATGCGTTCTAAATTGCACTGCGGGGGTAGATCGTCATTGCACGCAACCATTGGCTAGAACACCGTAAGGATTTTATCATGTTAGGATGTGTAAAGATTGATAGTTTGGTCATTTTTTCTTCTATAATTCGCCAGCATTCTGATCTATACAAGAGGACTATAGCACACTAGTCTGATATATCCTCAGTTAGGTATAATACTGCGCCGACTCCCGCACAAATCTTATGACGACTTTTCTGACCTTGTTCGATTTGTTTCGGATACATTTTGTCGGTATCTTCCGTTTTGGTAGCTATGTATATGTATGATTACCCAGGCAAGTGAATGTATCAGTGCTGTAAGGTAGTGTATTCATGTGTTGAGTCGTACTTGCGTTGTTGTTGTCTTCTGTATGTGTTGATGTGAATGTGACATGTCATCTTGAAGTGGTCTTTTAAAAATAAGAAGTGTTTCTCCCACAACCACATAGGATTCCACACTCCCGACCCTTTGGGTTAACTTGCTAGGATTTGGTAAACATTTCGTCACCCACTTGTGGTAAACACAAGCTTCAATATTCTAATTATGACGTTAAATATTAATACATCTTTTTATAAGTACACGTGCAATAATGCTTTGCGCCTTTGCATCTTCCATTGTGGAACGGGAACAAGAATAGTGTACTTCCAAGAAAGACATGGTTTTCTAGATGTAATATCAGAACGTTGTGGCAGAAAAAAAGTCCCTCAACTTGGGATGGTTGATTATCATGTCAATGTTCAAACTGTAAAGACACTCATACCTCGTGTCTTTATAAAACTTAGATATCAACTAACTCGAGTTAGATTTTCATGATAACTAACCATCACTCGTTTGGGAACCTCTATTTATCGTAACACTATGACCACACAATATGTTTTACGCTTCTTGACCGAGTCTATCTCTATGCAAATCGGAGTGAAGGTATGACACATCCCTGACGAACACTTATTGCAATCTTAACCCAGAATCCCGGGCCACTACTACATACAATGCAAGTGGAAAAGGTAAAGAGGCTCTTTTTAACGTTGACTATCCTAAGAAGTATCGCATACTTTAAATTCTTCAGAGGGTTTTCCAGTGAAATCTGTCGGTTGTCTTTCTCAAAATCAATCACACGGATGTGAAGCTGTCGTTGCCAATTGGATCACTGTTGTACGATGTTTCTTAGGGGACGGTCTGATCAGTGTATCAGTGTATCTTCCCATCTCAGCACTGCTTCTACGACATCTGTTATCCGATTCAAAATGACTGTGAGCATGCTGTTGCGTGGTGTAGATTATGGTATTATCCGTCGCTTGTTCTTCTGTTGCTTCACGTTTATTCTTTTATTCCACCCTACTGCTTCCTTTTCTCTTTCCCACAGACTGTTATAAGTATGGATTTTATTATTAAACTGTGAGTTCCGGGCCAGTCTTGAAAAGTTCTACAAGAAGGTTGTCGTGGCCAGGGTCTTTCGGTTCTTTTAGGTATTGTTTGCCTGGATGACGTCGTTGGTGCTGACATTCAACTCGTCTGGACCCTCCTGAATATCAGCTTCCTCTGGTGGTATTCCGTTGAGGACTTGTATTAAGTGTTGTGTCGATCTCATATCTTGTAGTTTTCCCCTGTGTTCAGAAATTTATGGAACGGTACAGGATTTCCATGAAAACCTCCCCAGTGTACCCCGTCTCATAAAACCTGTAAAGTTGGAAAAATAAGGCAATATGGCGAATGTTCACTGATCCTGTTTTTATGACCACGTACGTGATTCCCCGTAGCATTGAAAACCGATTTGCGGGATTACCGGAAATGTCGGTGTTAAGGTACCAGACTACCACATCAACAAAAGCTCGATCCTTTGATTGTTTTCTGTTCCCAGTTTTAACGGATTCTAATTCTAATGGAAACACTCAGACAAGTTATGTAAACCGTTTCTGAACGGTCTTTCTGAGTTTATCAAGATATTATAATCCTATCTCGAAAAAAACGCATAAAGGTTTTCTTCCTGCCTAAGCTACACCTTTCTATATATACTACTGTATACACTTACATGTAATTTAACATGATCTAATCCGGACCTATGCCTAGCCGCTCTGAAATATTTTATATTTATGTGTTAAGTTCAGACAGTTTTACAGTGTTTGTGCACGTGCCTTTATGCTAAGTGTTACAGTATGCAACGAAAAAGAAGGAGATTGCCCTCTGTACACCCCCTTCTATTTATCTATTTAAATGTACACCACTCTCCAATTTATCTGTAAACCCCCTCCCATCCATATGTACCCCAACATTTATCTGTTAATCACCTCCGATTTATCTGTGACCCCCTCCCCTTTATCTGTACACCACTCTGAATTATCTGTAACCCCCTCCCATTTATATGTGTCCCCCTCCCCTTTATCTGTACACCCCTCTCCCATTTATCTGTAACCCCTCCCATATCTGTAACCCCTCCCATTTATCTGTACACCACTCCCATTTATTTGTAACCACTCCCATTTATCTGTAACCCCTCCCATATCTGTAACCCCTCCCATTTATCTATACACCCCTCTCCCATTTATTTGTAACCACTCCCATTTATCTGTAACCCCTCCCATATATCTGTATACCACTCTCCAATTTATCTGTAACCCCTCCCATTTATCTGTAACCCCTCCCATATCTGTAACCCCTCCCATTTATCTGTACAACACTCCCATTTATTTGTACACCACTCCCATTTATCTGTAACCCCTCCCATATCTGTAACCCCTTCCATTTATCTTTACACCCCTCTCCCATTTATCTGTAACCCCTCCCATATCTGAAATCCCTCCCATTTATATGTAACCCCTCCCATATATGTAACCCCATCCCATTTATCTGTACACCACTCCCATTTATCTGTACACCCCTCTCCCATCTATCTGTAACCCCCTCCCATTTATCTGTAACCCCCTCCCATTTATCTGTACACCCTTCTCCCATTTATCTGTAACCCCTCCAATATCTGTTACCCCTCACATTTATCTGTACACCTCTCTCACATTTATCTATAACCCCTCCCAATTATCTGTACACCACTCCCATTTATCTGTACACCACTCCCATTTATCTGTACCATCCCTCCCATTTATATGTGCACCCCTCCAATTTATCTGTACACCCCTCCCATTTATCTGTACGTGTACATCCCCTCCCATTTGCCTGTACACCCCCTCCCATTTATCTGTACCCCCACATTTATCTGTACACCCCTCTTAGTTATCTGTACACCNCCCCCCACCACCACACACATATTTATCCGTTAATCCCCTTTCATTTATCTGTAACCACCTTCACTTTTCTGTACACCCCTCCAATTTAAACACCGCTTTCGATTTCCCACTTACGAAGTTGAGGTGATATGGTGTCATTACGTGCTGTTAGGGTATATTAGAACACTATCAGCAACATTACGTACGAAGCGTGATAATTGTTCCCGTCGGAAATAGAAAACAAGGGAAAAAATACATTCGTTTCCCCAAGATGAAACCTTGTGTATGTCATGATGTAGTCCTGATCTTTGGGCGCTACAATCGATTGCTATGATACCGAAGCATTACACAGGAGTCATGTACTTCTCTATATAAGAAGCCAGGACAATATCTCAGTGAATTATCTTTTGTGTAGAGAATATCGGCTTTTACTATGAACATTTATCGTGAGATTATGTCACATATGTCTATCCTTGTTAAAAGACTTGAAAGAAAATCCATAAAAAGTACATGACTAGCGTTTGACTAAACCGTTCGTTGACACCTACATTGTACAATGTATTCCGGAGTTCCGTATCCAATTTCGCTTTGTAAAAAAGGGAATTATTTTTTTCCACGTTGGTTGTTGCTTTATCCGAACTTATGACCTTAAAAAATGACTTATAAAAGGCCTACTTTAGTATTTTGTGTAGTGTTCATCTGACTAATGTCTATGTACTCAAACACTGCTACGATCTCTACATAGCCTTTAGTACGGTGGTCTGTGGCGCAGTGGATAGCTCACTCGCTTTTCACCAAGACGGGCCGGGGTTCGTGACGTGAAAAGGTATTGGGTCATGATCACTTGCCCGACCACGTGGGTTTTCTCCTGGTACTTCCGTTTCCTCCCACATTAAGACCCCTGCTTGCTTCAAACCGGGCTAACAAGAATGTCTATCTTGACATTCGTTGTCATATAAACTATACATAGGTTGCCTCCCTTGACATTAAGTGTTAACTTTGTATAAGATTATTTAGTCTTATATGAGTCACCTAGCCGGTAATGCTGCTATATATACAATTATTGCGAGCAACCATAGTCCCCAACTTTTAGACGATCCTCAGTATCCAAAAATGAATGAAGATCATAACTATAAATAGTAGAGCGAAAGACCCTGTTTAGCACGTGATAACCGCCATCCCAAAAAACATATTCCCTTAAATGCCTAACAACTGTAGGTGACAGAATGCGTGAACTATGCCATTTACAGAGTGATGCATGGACAGACTGACGTATGGACGGACTGTGTAAAAACGTGAAGTTTCCTCCGAAAGTACCGTTGGGGAACTTATGCTACACTTTCTTCCTTGCAATTTGAAGTAACAGCTCTTTATATTATCAGAACTTCAAACCATTGTCATGGTTCAATCTTATCTTTAAAAATCCTTTAATTTCACATTATAATTAGGTTTTCATTTCTTTCCAGCAATGGATGTTCCCAGCAGTCCCGGTTCACATTTGAGAGTCAAATCTCCACATCGGCATAGGCGTCGCCATCACTCTCCAAGTCGAACAGGGAGCGGAAGTGATTTACGACAACACCAGTCAAGACATGTGACCGTAGTGACAAATTCTGGTAAACCGGAAGGAGAAGATTATGAACTTCCACCGAGAGATTATCAAAACCCTCTGTAAGTGTTTTTGATTTTAACAAACATTTATCGTGACGTAAGATATATTTCATATTTACAAACTCTTAAATGTGTATGACTTCAATTTAAATTTTGTTTTCATATTTGAACAGCTACTCAACAGTTGTTCGGAAGTCCGTCCCTACTTTAGAACGTAAAATTATAATAACTTCAATATAAAGTCCGTTTCCCATTTCAAGTTATGGTATGTGTTCTTATACATCCGCCTCAAAAAAGAAAATGGAGAGAAAATTCTAGCATTGTAAGTTCATCATTAACGCCATGTTTTGACAGAAATCGGGCCATAACTTTAATGTTATCTATGGTGACTTATATATGCTATATAAACCACCATAGTTATCATGTGATGTTTTATTTTGAGTCATGTTGTGTATATTTTAAGGTCTTACTTTTCACAACAATGAAAATTCATTACAACACCTTCGTTTAATGTAAGGTCATGTATTCTGCTATTGTGATTTTTCAAATAAGTGGAAAACCTTCAGCAGAGTCTTGTGTTTTACCCAATTTGAAAACCCCTATGGTAGAATTTCCCTATCCAACAGCCGTGGGCATGAAAGAGACATATAATCTTCACATCATATTGGACCAGGTTCTACAACAAGCGACTCTAGCTATAGATTATCGTTTTTATCTAACTCATCAGTTGAGAAACTTCTTTTTGCCATCTTTTTATTATATTAAAAGTGATCGACACGATTGAATGTTTAACAAACGATGAGTCAGGCCAAGGAGGAAATTTTAATTTGAAACGTCTGCTAAATGACACAGTTATGATTATATCTTTGTAACCACAATTCATTTCATATTTCAAGTATTTTGGGTATTGCTCGATTCCAATAGTAATTTGTAGTGTTTGTAAAGCTATCGACTCGTAACGCGTAAACATCAATTACACTACACATCGCGGAGGAACGTCCGTATACGAGGAGAAGGATTGCCGAATGGCGCCAAGATTCAAACCGCGGCGTTTCTTACTTCAGGAATTTAAACAATCAAAATGACGGAAGGTGTTAATCAATTAATCGATTAGTTAACGCGTATATCTTACCAACACGTTGTCATTTAATTGATGGTTTGGGAGTTTATTAGCAGTTTTGGTAGAAATGACTATTTCTTCATGCTAAGTTATATTTTTTTTACCATTATACGACGGACACGTGTCATACTATAAATACCAACAGACGTTTAGGTCTCTCGTTGTATAACATCTAGGTCTTTAAGCATTAACGTACGGCTGTTAGAAACTCCGTAGTGTAGTCGTCCGTCCGAATATGTACATGTCGATCCAATGAATAATATATACCAATAAAACCCCTGTGGACGCTCAGCATCTGAACCGCGCATGTAAACGAAAACTTATGTCAAATATATGCTTGCTGTAGCCACAACGTTTTGACGACAATTGTTCAAAAATCGAAATAAAAAAAATCAACTAATTAAATAAATACTTGTGACAAAACGTTCTGGAGATTTGATCATTTTAATGTTTGTCGGTTTCCAAACTGACAGCAATTCGACCGTAATCTAATATTTCCTTTTCCAAATTATTGATACGTTTTGAGCATTCTCAAGCAAAGTTTCGTTCCAAATCGACATAATTTCAAGCATGCTCTTGCCTAATCTATCGAGAATCCACTATCATTTTCCCGTGAATCTTCACAATATTTCAAACATCATCTAGCTTTTCCGTTCTCAAATTATTGACCAGATTTCTGGCATTCTCATTTTCTGGAACGTTGCCTGATATTCATTGTGATAAGGGTTTCTGCCCGTCAAAAGGTCCGCTGAGGATTTGTAAGGGGACAGGAATATAGGCAATATGTGAATGCTGCAAATAACATACCAGTGACTGAGGTACAGATGATGAATACTTAATACCATTCCCGGTACATTTATATGACATCGTTGTAGATAATGTAACTACGGCCAAACTTTCACGTATTTCCATGGAAACGTGACCGGGAGAATTGGAAACTTGAATCACTTTTTTGATTGAAGTTGGAGAGAGATGGGGCTTCGTACACTTGTCTTTGTCATGACGTCGTCAAAATAACGTGAATTAGCTATATAGCTATATTAGCTATATAGAAATAAAGCGAATGTGTATTTTAGAGTCCCAAGATAATAATTCATCGCATTAGTAGTCTCTTTAAAGAGCATGTCTGGTACTCAGACTCGTCTGATCTGAAGAAGGTTATCATTTTGTTGACTATGACAGGCGCCTTCACGCCAAAAGCGATACATACTGGCTTAGAAACCTATAAAATTTCTTTTATGAATGGCAATATAAACTTGTGAAATCAATTAATAACACAGTTGAAAGATTTACAAGAATGTATGATGAATCGGTAACCATAAAAAAAATATTAACTTTAAATACAGCTCATCATTCTAGTCCATTGAATGAAAACTCTAGTAATTGTGGATTTGTAGATACCGTTGAAGCGAAGGTTTCTAATTATTTAGATAATATTTTAGCTAGCGAACAAGTTTGAAGGGAGATCACTCTTACATAAATTGATGGTACATGTATGTGGTAACGTCGCCTAGGTCCTTAAGTCATCTCTTATCGCTAACTGAATAAATCGAGATTTTCGCAATGTAGAAATGCTTGCGTTGTAAGCGTTGAGTAAATAATACGTATTTAAAGATTATAAAGATTTTAGATGCTAGAATCATGAAAATTAATCCCCACATCTGGATCTGTTTATTGAGTCACATAGCGAACATTTCCACCCCCGAGAACTATTACGTTTACAGTACTCTCCAGAACGAACAAATACATGTACATTATTGAGACATTTAATGAGTTGTGGAATAAACTCTTGTAATAAACCTAATGTATCGCATCCCATTAATAATGGGAATGGGTTATCTCCCATTACCAAATATTCTATATGGTCATTACGTAGTGTGGTGAAATCTGTCTAAACTCAGAACGGTAGAACAGTAGATGATACAGGTTGTCAGACTACACAGGTTCTATTTACGCAAAAAGTGAAAATAATGTAGCTTGTTCGATGTTGTTGTTTCTGAATAAAGGATCAGTTAAGTGTATTGTATTGTCAGTCCCTGTATACTCTTTACCTTCTAAATCCAATGGAAACTTATTTTATGTTCACGGCATCGCGTGTTTCATTGTTTTATTAGAAAAAAATGCTTACGATGTTTTTTCGGACACTGCACTAGAACAACAGCGGTCCTTCACTTAAACATCCAGAGTCAACGAGTTTGACTTATAATTTGATGCAGAAAATTAAAAAACCCCACACATAATGAATGGTTTGGCTTTCTAGTTAATTGATTTTTCAACCGTAGGCCACTGAATGTGTTCGGCTGCGTGTTCACTGTTATAGAACAGGGTAATTAAAACACGGGAATTCTGTGTAATTAAAACAAAGTGCAGGGTACTCTCAGAATGTGTTGAGTCGGGCTGTAAGCTGATGCAAAGCTGCTTCGTTTCATCACTCCTTTGTTTCGTTCGCTTCGCTTTCTTTTACTGCTTTGTTAGTTCGTTTCGTTTCATTTTTTTCTGCTGCTTTTTGTTTTATTTGGTTTCTTTTCATAAAATATTGCTCCGTTTGTATATATTAGATTTGTTTCGTATCGTATAGGATAGACTTTTTTTCGACATGCCCATACATTTTCCACCGACATGATTATATTAGAAACTAAACTAGATATGAAGTGATGCTGCCGATTTTCTGGCTGTCTACATCTTCATCTTCTTGATGTCAACCATCCATATATTTGACTGATCTTTCCCAACCCAAAATATGTATGAACCTGTGAAGGTCAGGAGTCATACCAATTCAATGTCGAGCCGCTTTTGACGTAGTGTCATAGTGATAATGCCAAACATCCATCATTTTTGTTGTTGGATATAATTTAAATTAAATTCGGAAGATAATTTTATTTCGGCAATTTTTTGTATCTCAGAACATCGATATACTGACGTCAAAGAGACATATACCAGACTAACTTTAAAATGATCAATTAAACCTTCCATGATCCAATAGAATGACAATAGAAACAGAAGATTTAGCTCCCTTTATTGGCATGACCTATGCAACTGGAGGCGCAGAGAAAATCAGTATTTTAATTAAGAGTTACTCCCCTTCTGTCACTCAATATTCTTAGGTAAGCCTAGCACAACGAATTTCTAAATATAAGTGGAGTGTGAAATATCGTTTCAGAGATTGGGGGATAATACTGACTGGGATATTAGACATGTACAATCATTTAATTCTAGTCAAATAAGAAGTAAAATGAAAGACTTGTTCATTTGGGTTACACATCATATGACGACGGTGTCCATAGAGGACGGGGCCGCTCAATCAGGGGTAATTGAAATGGTCGCCTCGCTGAAACATCACGAAACTTGCAAAATCATTGTACTACCCGGCACATTATTCTGACAATGGGCCAATTTAGAAGCAAAGAAAAATACCACAGACAGCAGAAAGAAGATAAATGAGAAAATATTTTTTTGGGGTTCCGCGTGTTGCTATGCGTACATCCAGTTCAATTTGCTCTCTTCAGAGTCGTCAGAGCTCACAGGTCAGGAGACAACATGATTGATTATGCTCCCGGAAAAGGTTCCCGATATATCGCCTACTTGATGCAATGTATGTGACACACCGTCTCCAAACTGCATATAACCCTAAAATTGCATTAAGCTGTCTCCAGCCTGTCAGAAGTTATGGCCCCCACGATAAATCTTCTCTGAAAAGGCATGTTTCAATGTAGACTTTTGGTGGCTCTACGAATGCCAGCTTTGAAATAAGCAGTAAATACAAATATCAGTTAATAATGACTTGTTCTATTTCTAAACATAAAAAAAAATAATTAATACAATATTTATCAAAATACTAATTTCTTATAAACATGTAAATAAACAAAAAACGATGAAAATCTAAATTGAAAAACTTTGAAAAACCAAAACTGAATCTACATGTAAAATCGACTTGCTTTCACATTAATCAAAGAGACAGGCATTTTGTCAATAAGTTTATACTTAATTCACTCTAAGGTCAAATGATGAATGTATTTCTTAAAACAGCGTTTCATTGATCACATTTATATCCGTGGTATCTTCGTTGTACAAATCACCCGCTGCAGCTCCTGGAGGCTTGCGGGGCAATGACGTCATCACTTGGTTTGCGCTGTAACATCAAAAGTCAACGTTTGTAATTATACTTAGTACTAAATTCAACACGGGCTCGTGTACTTACTTCTCTTTAAATAGATTGTTGACATTCTAATAAATTGTTTAAAGTTAATAAAAACTGTTAACCTTCTTCGAAGGAATCACAAGAATGACGCGGGGAGTTGGAAAATGCTTTATAAGAAAAATGTTCTTTTCCTTTCGACAGACTGCATATTGATATGGAACTAGACCTAAGTTTGACGATTACGGCAATCTACAAGGAACTATTTTCTCACATTCCGCAAAAATTAAGAATTTTCGACACATTTATTTTACTTTAAGGTGCATGACAGGGATGTGTTATAAACTGTTATGAGTTCAAACCTTCAGTTAACTTTAAGGTGTACGACAGGGCGTAGCCTTGTGTTAGTGAATTTCATATGAAGTTTTTAAGTTTTTAAAGAAGCATTTGATGATTCTACAAAGTCGTTAAGTATGAACGGATTATAATTTGAAATAAGAAGAAATGCTGCTCATTTACTTACTGTGAGTAAGACGTCGTGTAGAGATTTCGTCGATCTGTGGTTCTTCATAACATTGAAACAGGATGATTCTGGAATCAAACAAAGATCACATTTGTGTTATATATAATAGTTGAAATTCTGCAACATGGAAGAAAGAAATGTTAAAATAAGCACTTGACAAAACTTGATAACGACATGAATCTCGAGTAATATTATAAATTGATGCATAATATCATATCAAAATAAGAGATGAGAGAATGTTTTCCAAAAATGAATAAAATCATTGTCGCAAGAACTGATTGCAATAGTGAGTGTCAGGAAGGGCAATTTTACTGTAGATATACATTGCACAGTATGTATCAGACAATGCTCATTCGACAAATGAAGAAAACTTTCAGTCGAAGTATCCATTTCCTGCAAAATATCTTCGTGATCATTTTTACGTGTGATAATGTATTTATGAATCCAGTTAAATAATTAAACAGTACATACCGTTTTCGGTCTTGGAGTAATCCTTCTTGTAGAAGAGGTTGTACCATACTTTGTTCCGGGTGGCACTTTTCTCCCTCAACTCGACATCCTCCTCGTGGGGCGGGCAGCTGACCCAGCCGTGGGGAGACTTTTGTTCTGGTGTCATAATAAAGTTTTAGTTATTGATTCATTTGATGTCAGGAACTAAAATTTTGTAAAAGTTGAAAATCATATATCGTTTTAATAAGATAACAGTTCAGAGATCGGTTATTCTGTTATCAGGTTTTTTTTTCTGATTAGACTTTTGAGTAGAGAAAGCTCATACATACAAACATACAAATTTGAGTTCGTCAAGAATATTTCAAAACATTTTAGGAATTTATTAACTTTGATCGAATATATGCGTTCGGTTGTATCATTTTTGTACTATATCTGTAATTTCAATTTTCATATTGTTCAATTTATTTAAAACAAAATCCTTTTGGTCAGTGTAAAACACGTGCCGATACACATTCAGGATTTACATTTTTAGACGTTGGTCATTGGATTGTTGGCAACGATTAATTCACAGTATAACTTCTTACTTGGTATATCTGGAAGATATCTTGACCATGCTGGGGTCATCAGGTCATCTCTTGTGGCCGGAGAAGGGTGGACAATGGCACCTGAAAAATAACAATTATCATAAATATCGTTAGTAACTCAACTTCCTGAGATTGAGTAACTAGTTATCTATGTCGGAGTAAACCCAGCGCCTTTCGCAATTTTCATTGGTTGTCTATAGAACACCGAGTAGCCCCCTAATTTTGAACAAGGGAAGTAACTCGATCGATGTCACTTTTGATACCTGAATTTAACAGTTAACGAACCAGTGGCAAATTAAACAAACTAGTTAGAAAACTTTCAAAGTAACAGAACCCAACATGTCACATAGTTGAAAGGGGAAAATCCAACACTATCCCGGAAAGTGTTCTGTAAAATACGTCATATCAAAGCAATCATCAACCGCACAATTCTGGCCCAATATTCATAAGAAAATCACGATTATTTTTCTTTCTTATGAGTATGGTTCCTGGTCCCAACCACTAACTACACAACCAACAAACTCTCATTAAAATGCTTTCTAAACGTATCTCCCGTTTAACGTTCGTGCGGAAAGAATCCTTCATTCCCCTGACACTGGCAAACCATTGGAATACACTACAGCCCGGTAGAAGTAGAGTTACATAGTACATGTATACCACTTACCGTGGTTAAATCCGCTGTGTGGGTTTGGTGCTATCTGCTTCAGACTGACATAGCATGACCTCTTCAGAAATTCAGCTTCAAATAGATCCAATAAATCCGAATTATGAATATGTAAATTATGTTTCTCGTAAATTTCTTTTACAGGAAAACACACAATGAATATATATTGATATGTCCTCCATTTCAAATGTAAAGCGTCGGCGATATTTCGAAACGAGATATTTAAACACTGATCTACCAACAAAATCAAGCATGACAAAATACTAATTACCACAAAATTCGAGGGAAATCCAGCCTCCGATTGTTTAAAATATAATTCATTTTCGTAGTACAGTAACATGTACATTTTTACGTCATTTTCTAAATCATATGTTATATTGCGTTATATCAATAATAACATAATTAAAAAGCTAATTTAGCTGACCTACCAGTGTCATTTCTTTTGAGTTTGTTTGTCTCGATAAGGTTGTCTAGAAAACCCGAGAGATCGCTGTCGAGCCGTCCTCCAGATTTACGAGTCGTGATATCTGTTAATATGTTAAATTCCATGTTTAAGTCAAAATCTGAAACGAAAACATAATGTCATTTGTATGTCTAAAGTTAAAAAGTAAATACGATATTTAACAGATTTAACGGACTCACGGAGCCATGACGATCTCCATCGTCTATATTTGATATAAGGGTCATGGGTTTGTTCCATGTATTTCTCTCGTTCCCTCTCCCTCTCTCGTTCCCTCTCCTTCTCTCACTCTCTCCCTCAAACCTTCCTAGACCCAAGAGGCGTACTGTTTAACATGGGCTTATAAACAGATTAAATGTATAGTTCTTTACAGTGGGCGGGCATAAAACAATAACACAATGATCTGGTACACGTGGTCACATTCTGCTGTATGATTGTCCCTGTATCTTTTGAGAAACCCTATACTTCGATGAGATAGGCATTTTCGCATTACATTAATTTGAAGGACGATTTAAAACGAACGTACATATGGCAGTATTTATTCCATTTTCGATTTCTACGAAAATTTTCCATTTTCGAGTTCTTCGAAAATCGGCCATTTGAAGAACAGTGGCAGCAGAAGATAGATTTTGTTCAAAACTACGTTATTTTCCGTATAATGTTCTTCGCCTCATGTTGAAATTACCCTCTCGTCTGAGATTTTTTATCATTTATCCTTTTTCACTGCAACTACCTTAAGACGTAATCAAATATTCGATCCCGCATTACGTTTTCCTTCCAGTTGCAAAAAAAAAAAACGAAAATAAAACGCGCAAAAATTCCCTGTTCTACAGTATGGTACAGACTTTAGATTCGTGTAGCCTGAAAGGAAATGTAAACTATGTTAACGGTCCGTAAACGACATCAGTGGTACGTATACCCTCGTACATGACTATTTGATACTTAACATATTACATTTATGTACAAAACTTCCATAAACTCACCTTTCATTGTTGATGTTCGTCGCTGATTTTGTCGATTTTCTTAGTAAAGTACTGCTTGTTAAACTCTGCGCAAAATATCGCGCAACATCAAACTGGTTGTGAAGCACAGCAATATTGACGTCACAATAACTTTGCACATGTGACGCCATAACTAAGAATGTCAATGACGTCACAGAGACACAAACTGATTGTTAACACGTGTAGCGTAAATAAGGCGGATACATTAGCGGATCCAGCCCCAACTCCGTTAGATAAAAATGTTCGCGTCCTCAAAAACCAAAACAAAAGATATTTTTCTATCATGTCAAATTGAAATATATCATTGCATACGGTTATTTCTTAAGTCAAAGGGAGGTAAATCGTGTTATCTTAGCTTTATCTAATACCGCGCCTTCAAGCGCCAAGCCCTTTCATCCTCTCCAACAGTCATCTCCCGTTGATCCAGGAAACAACAAGTCCCCTGTTGAAAATAAAGGATACATAACGACCGCATTTAGCTCAGTATAGATATCGTTCAATTACAGTAACTCATCCATAGTAAATGTAAATATGTAATGTAAAATTGCAACTAAATACAAATGGTGAAAACTTATTTTCAACATGAACCTTTCGTTGTTCCATAGCCTCTACTAGTCAAACGTCAAACTCAGAAAAATGTCGCGCAACTTTGTTTCGCTTTGTTTAGAGGAAGGGGGCAAAAGAAAAACAGATTCTGTGTGGACTTCTTCTCATGACCATGCAGTGGGATACAGCATGGGTATTATTCTCTTATACCGCTAACCTGCAGGAGACTCGGTGAAAAATTAAAACGACTGTGAAAATAAACAACATTTTTTAATTGATTGGTCGAGTCCGTAGGAAAAATGTTTAAAGATACAGTTGAAAGAACCTCATAATTTATTAAATATTTCTTACATTGTGGGATCTTGAGGTTGTACGTGATCGAAGCTATTAACTCAGATAATATTATACCCCTTGATCTCGTATCACGTATACACCCGATACGACATAATGCCCTAGTCTTATAAATACTTAGTCTGCAAACAAAACGTCCCGAAACTTTTTAATTAAACTTGATTCAACAGACGTAGACTATTTACTGGGTTAATATACCCCGAGAGTTCCAATACAGTAGATTACAGAAGATCTACCTGTAAACCCCGATTTACCTGAGCCTTACCTGGACAAACACGTCTTTTCGTTACTAAGACAAAACTGAACTGTTAAATCGCGTCATTTAGTACCTGTCCCTGTGTCAACACACTAGATCTACCCTAACCCGGTAGGTGATCCTCAAAATGTTCTTAAGACAAGTAAAAATGGCCGGATGATTGGTCAAGTGTTTTCCCTAATGTCACGAAACACTTTAAAATATATGGACCTCTATTTACGCTACGCAAGATCTCGGAGTTGGATTTTCATGTCTATAGTATTTTCCTATACGGTCCCCCTCTGTTATACATTTTATAGCAAGAATGTCCATTTAAAGTTTAACCCTTTAAACACACGTGATTAAATAGATTTATTTATTTGGAGAATTATAGTTTCTTCTGAATTAATCTGTACAAATCTGATTTAGATGTGTATTAGAAGTGGTGTTGTAAGTCAACGCCATGGTATATGCATTACAGCAACTCTATATAGAGCTCCCGCGGACGTTTATAAACACTGATGATAATATTGTTATTATTACAAGTCATATTCTCACATTAATGTAACAAGGTTTAAGGACACAATACAAGCATATCATGTACAAGTGCTGGCAACACTTATAGCCATATATGTATAGGTATATATATGTGTATGGTAGACATATATGTGTAGGTATGTGTATGTAGGCGTGCGCTTCCACGTGTGACAATGTTTATGAAGGGCTCTGTCGATGTCACGTGTCCAAACACAGGGACCAAAAAGGGATTTATGCAATGATGATGTAAACTTCATGTACTGTCATGGATTACGGGAGAGTCATCGATTACGAGAAACAACTACTTAATGAAGCTGTCCTGGAGAATCTTGTGTTGTAAGTAGTCTTAATATGATGGTTTACTTTTGGTAAGGTTTTTACAATCCCTTGTCTGTGTAATAATTTAGCTGTAACAGGCGCTGTATTGTTTATGATTATTCTGACAGATACGCAATGATATTACACTGAAACATATGTTCGTATATGTCGTGACTGGAATGATCTTGATTATCGTTAAAATTTACGTTTTACTAAGGATTTTAGGTAGAAAGCTATTTGAAATATACACTCACGATGAGAGTACAACATTATAACCCCTTCGGACCTGATTTCGTTCTCACGACTATTGTACCCTTATCTTGTACACACTTGCTTTCACTTTTCAAGTAAAGAAAACTGAAATAACTGAATGTCAGGGGTCAAATCAACTAGTTTGTTTATGGTTCGGATTTCTATACGCGCTCCGGTGTAACGTTGAGAAGTGACTCCTTTAAAATAGCACACATAGTCAATTTTACGGGTCACTTTTGGTGACCATACTTATCAACAACAATGTAAACACATCTTTTATTCCATTCATACCACGGGCAGTTGTATCTAGTACAGGAAATGTACACACGTCAATTTACATATACGTGTTTGTTCACCTGTTTTGATTAAGAGAGCATAACCATGTTCTATCTAGGACATTTCTGTACATGAAGTTCGTCTCTACCACACGTACAACAATACACCGTGTGTGAAGTTCGTGATAAACACTAATTACTGTGAAAAGTGAACAATCGCTGTTCACATCGCTTTGGAGTTTAGTTAAATACTGTAAAACCTAACATCATACATGCAGATTGCAGTTCATTTAATTTGTCAGAATATCAAGGAATATTTCGGATAATACGACGCAGGTTAAAATGTCCATACATGCGTGTAATCTTATTTAAAATATTAATACATGTGGTTAGGGTACAATTTTTTATAGTTACATGATTTATAATTTGAATGATAAAAAGCAGCAATGCCGTTTTTTTCCATGTTCAGAAGACCACCTTTTTCTATAAATAACGGATCTCCAAATCAAAAGATATGTTCAAGAATAATAACAACCGCTTTTGCAGTTAGTAAGAGCTTGTTGTGGTCAAAATGTTATCGGGTAAGTTATAGTAATTAAAGGTGGGAAACAGAAGCGAACTTACACACGGGGCTTAGTGATGGGTTTACAAAGGGTCTAAACAGTGCGAGACGAGGAAATCTGGACACANGGGGGTTGAGAAGGGAGAAAATGGAATAAGGAAAAGCAATGTACATGGTGTTTGATAATAACGAAATCGGAATGCCTGGTTCGACAGGGATGTGACTTTGTTTATCAAGCACGCTGATATGACTGTTTGTCGCTGAGAATTGTGTAAAGCAGCAATTATTTGGTTGCAGTACCATTCATTGAAAAGGGGAAGGCAACTGTAGGAGCAGAATGGTATAATGTTACGTGTTTATAGATCTAAGGGATTTACTTCCCTTTTCTCATTCCTTTTGTTACATATCATGATCTGTATTGAAATCTTTGTATGTGTAAATTAACTTGTCTAAATCAATGTTGTCATGATTATTTAATTCGAGCCTTAGTAAAATTTTAGTCATACACTTCTGTTTGAAATGAAAGTGAGTAGTTTGGTCTAAAAAGGCAGTCCGGCGCAAGCAATGCCTCCCCTAATCTGCAGGGGGATCACTCATTAGTCTCCTCTTACGATACATGTATAGTGGGGTAACAGCAGTTGCATTCTTTTGACGATCCCCGACCTGCAGGTTTTAGCTATCATATTTGATTAACAAAACCCGGGTTCACCACCCTGTTTCAGATTCCTTTGTTATCATTGCGAACTTGTACGCCACTCTGTCTGAAAAAACCCCTTGGATTTGTGCCCGACGACAAAGAAGTAAAAGGCTTAATATACTAATCAAGCTCCATATGCATGGTCAATATATTCAAATATGGAACACATATCTCACAACAATTACAAAACAAATTTATCAACATATATTTATGATTCTGATCTGCCCGAATGGTAGTGCGCAGGGCGACCCCGTCTGAATGGGGAAGTAACTAGAATACACAGTGAAAACCCACGTGGTACGGTAAGTGACCCCATTTTACATTTACGTTTTCACGTATCTTAGGGGAATCGAACCTCGACCGTCTTTGTGAAAGGCAAGTACAATATCCACTGCGCCAACGAGTTGGGGAGGGGACAATGTGTATAACAAAGAGGGAAGCAGCAGGAAGTCGAGAGATGTAGAAAGGGAGTTGAGGGGACAGGAAAGGAGTTCGGTCGAGTAAGAAACGTTCCGAGCTCTCATGTATAGAAGGAGATGGGTGGGTTATGATTGGATTACTGAAGAACATCAAGTTACCGCTGCAGGTTTTTTTTATGTTTGATGTAAATTATATAATTCGGATACATCAAGTGGCTACTTGACAAACCGAAAAGAACAGCCATGCTTGAAATGTTATCTCTGATAAGTACACGACAAGTTTCTGTAAATTAAGATAAATTGAATTCCGGGAGATGTCAGTTATTTTCATATGCAATTAAAATCTTGAATCTAATTTGGTATATATATGTATACTTTTTGTTTATCATTATTGTGTATTTTAGGCGTGTGTATTTTATATTGAGCGTGTGTTTAGATACTAGAATCGATCGTTCTTTTGCGACATATTCTGTCCCACTCCTGACATTACAGAAATCTATTACACTCAATACCACCACCACACCACCACCACTTTCTCCTCTCACACCTCTTCTTTCGCCTCCCATCACTGACCTAAATGCTCTCAGTGTCATATCGTCACAAACGCTTGCCACAGACATATCAAATAGAGTAATATAACAAAGCGTTCGGCTGACGTAGAAATCTTTAGAGATGTGTTACCTTCCCTGACGATTGCTAATGTTAAAAGTCAACTTTCCAATGATTGACAGCGATGTTGATGTTGTTTGATGTTGGAGCGTGCTTCGTCGCATACGGACAATCCAGAGCATACCAAATATCGATTTTTTGCAGTAGTAAATGACATGATAAAGATTGACACGCGCTAATCAAAGGGATGTCAAAAGAACCGGGAAGCATCCCGTGGGTTCAATTATAGAATATGGAAAA